AACACTTGTTACCCGGGGGGAGTGGCCTCCTCTGAGACTGTAGATTAACTCCCGGCCTGGCCCTGTCCCTCTGAACCACTGTCTTGGCCCCACGGGGACCAGGGAGGTCACAGTGCAGCTCAGAGTGGCCGTCTCTCCAGCTGCGACGGACACTGTCTTCTGAGGCTGAATCACCTGCAGCTCCTCACCTGCCCCTCCTGGAGGGAAGCACAGAGCAGTTATTTATTCACCACAGGGAGCCTGTGGGTTCGGTCAGTATTTATCAACAACAGCTTTCATCGACCAAGTGCACACCCTGAGCGGGCCTTGAGTCCAGCAGTTTGCATGTGTCATACATGTAACCCTCACAACCAACCTGTAATGTGAGAGCCTATAACAAATGAGGAAACTGAGGCACAGAGAGGTAGCAGAGAGTGGGTTTATGTTTTCCCCCCACCATGTGGTTCTGCTTGGTGCCAGCATTGGAGGGGGTGCACTGGGCCTTTTCCTGCAAAGGTTGGCTGCCCAACTGAGCTGACTGGCTGCTGGCGGTATCATCTAGCCAGCCCGAGGAGTTCATCTTTGCCAGGGACGCTAAGGCAGCAATGGCTGGTCGTCTGATGGTGAGGAAGTTAGCTGCAGAGAAACCAAATATCCCTTGGAATAATGTTCATTTGCAAAGCACTGCATAAGGAAAACTATCTCTTGCAAAAGACTCATTGAATCCTTACCCAGTTTCATCCTTAACGTCTCTCATTAAAGTGGCTGTGCGGTAGTTGCTGCTGAACCTGAGCTACAAGTTGGAATTGAATCAGGTCCTGCTTCAACTTCAGAATGCCTTCTGAGTATGAAAGAAAAGTTTACCAACAAAGAATGGGAAGCAACCAGAAGCTTTAAGGATGAATGGACTCGCCTGCATATGTTCTATGGGCATCGGACCCTGAAGGAAAGCTTCATAGAAGCCATAGGTACTGGACTAGGGTTTGAATCACAATGGCTTGAATGTGATATGTCTTCATTAAATTTGTAAATGGCCAGGTTTATAAAGAAACATGTTTGTTTCTGGATGGAGAAGACGGAAAAGAATGGGGCGTTTGAGGAGAGCCAAACAGATGAGCACCATCTGTGGCAGTAGCTCCTCGGAAACCCGATGCATCCAGACATCAGATGCTTCATCTCAAGATGATCCCACACACCCAGAGGCAGGTCCTGTCCTTCCCTACAGGACTTAGTGTCACCTGCTGTTCCTATGAGCCCTCATCATCTTTCATTTTGGGACTGTTTTTCTTCCCAGAAGAAGTTCTGATGGGAAATGCTTCAAAGTCATGAAAGGTAAGAAAGGGAAATGAAACTGTAATATTCTGTGCTCACTAAAAGATAAAATGCCTATTACTATCCAATTTCATTTCATAAAACAGCTTGAAAAAGAAAAACACAACTTTCCCTAGTAAGAGAGCATACTCCCAGTTCAAGAAAGCTCAGTAAAATGCATGTTTACCTTTCTTCCTCACCAGAATCACATTGAATTGACAGAGAAATAGAAAAGGGTGGCAGAATCTTAGCTGATCCAGGCATTGCTCATTTTATTTCCATTTGCTTTATTGCGCTTCACTTTATTTCCGCTTTCACAGGTGTTGGCGGTTTTACAAATGGAAAACAAGAAGACCCTTCCCCACCAGGGAAAGCAGTGGGTGGAGGGTGGGAGGGCATTGATTCACCAGGGAACCTGTATGCATTGTGCATAA